TTTAAGATCATTTTAGTGAAAGTTTCATCCTTCAAGGCGTACCATTCACTGCTGAAATACTAAACAACCTGCTTCCATGGCCGAGATACAGGGCGCCCATATTATAAGGTAAGGTTATAAAACCACCATTTAAGATCATTTTAGTGAAAGTTTCATGTTCCTATCTCATAGAATTTAAGAACAATGATGAATAAATAATTTTCGAGCAAAATTTAAATGGCCGGCTGAATATATTACCGCAGGAGCCGCGGCCGCGGAATTTAAATGACCACGTCAAAGGGTTAACACAAGTAACGCTATCAATTGGGGAACTGAGAATCCACGCGTAACCCCTGAGTCAATGTGTGGTGTGGAGTGACCTGTGACAAAATGTACAGCCTGTTCATTTTTTTCAGAGGAAATTCTTCATGCTACCAGTTACCTACATATGCTCCAGGAATTTGTACTCCTGCAATTGATGTAAGATGGGGTACTGGACACCATCATCTTCCAACATGATGGCATTCAGCCACATTGGGCTCTCATAGTATGAGAGTTTTTAGATGACCCATGTGACAATCACTGGTGCAGCCATGATGGGCCCATCCCATGGCCTATGAATTTCCTGAACCTGAAGCCTCCAGACATTTTCATGTGGTGGTATGTCATGTCACTTGTGTACAGACAAAGACCACAGAATGAAGGTGATCTCTGACAGAAGATCACCACAGCCTCTGCAGAGATCACTCCAGAAATGCTGCGTGCCACATGGCGCAACTTGTCCACGCAGTATGTACTGTGCCACTTCCGCTGTGGCAGTCATGTTGAGTGTTAATGTGTTGGGACATGAAAGTGATCTCCCTCCTACAAGTGTACATACCATTAACCGGTAATAAAGTGGATTCTTTTCTGCAAAGTTTCCATTTCTTTATGTGACATCTAAAATGGATCACACTATATATCGCAATACAAGAATTGGACACATAATTTCAGGTTGTCTCAATACCGACATACTCGTATGATCTCTGAATCCTACTCCTACAGGGAAAAAATCAGCAAAAAAATAAAAACTGTTTTCATACCCTTGATTAAAGGTTGATCAATTCATAACTGTCATGAAAAATGCAATTAAAGTTATATGTCTTATGGCAACATGGTATGGGGAACTTTGTGATTCCAAAAATATTATGTGCCAGTTCAAATTCATACTATGTTGTCACAATGCAAAGAACTTTATCACATTTTATGTGAAAATGATAGTCAAAATTCATCAAATATAATTTACATCTTGGCAATCATCATGGAAATCATGTGGTGCAGTATATGGACATGAATATCTATATCATGCTGTCACATCACATTTTGGGTGAACACAGGTACAAAAGTGCTTACAGGAGCACAGAAAATAATGGAAAAGATGGTAACGATCCACCATGGTGAAAACATCAATGGATGATGACAATAAAAACATGTTCTTTGACTCTGCGAAGTTTCATAAATTATTTACTTTCCACTTTAAATTCCAATTCAAAAAGAAAGGATCAAGTAATGCCACTCAGGACAACTACAATACTAAAACAAATCTGCTTCATGAGCATTTCAGTAAACTGAAACCTGATTCAATGGCCAGAAGAGTACAGGGTTAATGTTAGTAAATTATAATTAGCTTTTAAGATTTCAGACCAACAAAGAGTTAAATTCTTTTATTTCAAATATGATACACCATTCTGAGCGTCTAGGGGCACACAGTAGTGTAGCTGGTTGAGGCACTATGCTACAAGCCAGAAGGTTGCAGGATCGAATCCCGATGTCATTAGACTTTTTTCAATTGACCTAATCCTTCCAGCCACACTATGGCCCTGGGGTCGACTCAACCTCTAACAGAAATGAGTACCAGGAATATTCTTGGGGGTAAAGGGTGGCCAGTGTGTAGGGCTGACACAACCTTGCCACCATCTGAGCCGAATATCTAGAAAATGTGGGAGCCTCAACATCTCACAACCCTACGGGCCTCCAAGTTCTGTTACAGGGATACCTTTACTTTTTTCACTTCTTTACATTCTGAGGGGCTATAGGGAAGGGCATTAAGAAAACTTTTATCTTTAATATTATTAGCTAACAGCTGAATAAAATTTAAATTAAAAAAAAAAGAACACTGACAATAAGTCTGAAGGCTCTGTGTGTGTCTACAACTGTTCTGAAGAACATTCTAATAAATTTACAGCATGTTCAAGTTCAACAGACACTGTAGAAATGGCTCCACTATAGTTCTGCGTACAGTTCCTCCCTTTCTTGCATCACCATGATTGTCACTGTGGAAACATCCTTGATATGTGTGTTGCACACAGAAAAACAGATATAAAACAACAATCTACCACAATTAAGAAAATTTAATTTATGAAGGAACAGTCCAGGTACTCCTGGTGTCACTGTAAGGGGTGGTTACAGTGACAGGCTGAAATTTTTGTTTCCCAAGCAATATATAAAACCAAGAAACTACTATGAATATTAATTGTGGCCAATGAGTCCTGTGATTTATAAGAACAATGTACAATTAATACTACATCTGCAGAATAAATTTATTATAGATAATATATGGGGGCAACATTACACATTCATTTTCTTAGAATATATCATTACTTCCCATCCTGCTGTGAAGAGATCCAAACATACATGGTGACGTGAATCAAGTCCACCTCTTTTTTTTCTCTGGTAGGTAATGACAATTAAAAACATTTAATCTTTCAGCAGAAGATGAAATGTACTATATGTCCACTGAAGCCTCTGCTTTATGGTGGTGATCTCACAATTAATATTCCAGCTCCATGAAAGAACCTTAAACCAAGTGATGATGGCCAAGACAAGCATTAAAATATTTAACAATTACGATGTTCAAACTTCAAGTGTTCTGTTACATTTACACACAGCTCCTCCCACAGCAGGCAATCGCACACTGAGGAACTAAATACATTAACATTTTCAAACAAGGATACACTCTGCTCAAAACCAACTGATACTATGTAACATCACAGGAAAACAGCCATACAGAATAAATAAAAAATTTAGTTGCATAGAGTGAAATTAAGAGACTATATAACACAAGTCTTTTCTCTGAGGTAGCAACAAGTAAACCCATTTGTCTACACAGGACTGGGCTGCACTAGAATACTTACCTAAACCACGTGCTGCTACATCTGTTGCTACCAATATAGATATCTTCCCACTTCGAAACTCTGAAACATGGTAAAAAGCGTGTAATAAATATCCAGCAGGTTACAGACTATACAAAATGATTATCACTGTATACATTAATTATACTCTTAGCGGACACCAGAAGCAGTCAAAAAACACTGTAAATCATACTTGGAAACATTCATTTGACCCAACATTCAGTTGCATGACCATGACACTTACTTAAACATTTGTGGCAGAATCCTTGCACCCACGTGGCTTTGTGAAATTCTGTGTAAAAATATTCAGAGTAGGCTTATGAGATCAAGAAGGCAGATGAGTGCATATGCATGAGCACATATGCACTCATGCATGTGTTCCCTTCCCATTTCAGTTTTTGAACCATCTGACCAATTTTCATTAAATATTATGCCAGTAGAGACCACCAAAACATGATAATTTTTGTTTTCCCACAATCACTAACATGACATACGTGTGGAATTCTGAGATCTGAATAACATTAATAACTAACTCTAGGAAGCTAAGACCTCCTCGAGAAGCCACCAAGATTTTCCTTACATTTTATGTAACATGAAGGCTCACAAGAGCCCTCCAACAGTTCCTGCCCCAAGCCCAATAAATCTAGTTCATACCACCCCACTCTATCCCTCTAAGGTCCATTTGAATATTATCCTATGAACTACCTCTAGGCCTTCCTAGTGGTCTCTTTCCTTCTGGTTTTCCCATCAAAATCCGATATCCATTCCTCTTAATTCTCCCATGCATGCTATGTGCCCAACCCTTCTCATCCTCACTGACTTGATCATTCTAATTATACTTGACAAAGAGTACAAGTTATGAAGCTCCTCATTATGCAGTTTTCTCCAGCCTCCTATCAATTCATCCCCTTTAAATCTAAATATTCTCCTCAGCACCCTATTCTCATACACCCTCAGTTTATGTTCTTCCTTTAATGTCAGAGACCAAGTTTCACATCCGCAAATAACAAGAGGAATAATTCTGCATACTCACATTTTTGTTTTCAGTATTTTAGCCTGTGCATTTGGCGTCTTTCTTTTTGGAGGGAAATGACTCCTCCAAGATGCCCAGTTACTCACTTCCTGCAACTTGACTGAAATCCCAACTTCTCACTTCACAACCTCCAACTCGTGAGTTTGTCCAAGGGCCTCAAAATATCTTCTTACTACAGAAACATAGCTCCAGTCGCCTGCTTTGTCCTCTGGTGCTGTTGCTGGCTGTCTTGCCAGGTCCCCTATGAATATGTCCCTTGCACACTGCAGAACAGCACAGTGAGTCAACCATCCTCAGGAAGCAGACAACTTCTGCCAGGACCCACCATCACCCCAGGTCCCTATCTTCACCTGTTGGCAGTGCCCTACAGCTAGAAACCGTACCCCATATTGGTCCTCCAGTGCTCCAACAGTTCTCCCTTCTGCCTCGTCATTAGGGACTTCCTGCTGCTCCAATAGGGTCTCTTTTTCTTCAGGAATTGCTTCCAAATCTGTGGTGATTAATATGTTCAACCTCCCTTTGAAAACTGCGGCCACTTCTTCCTGGCTGGCTTTTGTCTTCTGTAGGCAACCCTTATTCCCTTCCCACTAGGCATTCTTACTGGCTTCCATCCTGTCCTGATGGGTGTCCAACTTGGCTATTATTTCTTCTTGTATGGCCTCTGTCCTGATTTCATGGATATCCCCTGAGGAGATGAGGGAACCTTGAGGGGCCTCAAACATCTCATTACTGGCTCTTATTTCAGCCTTCATTTCCCTCAGACTTGTGTCCATTTTTCTTGCGTGACCTTCATTAATTTTCGCCATGTCTTCGGTCTTGTAGCTACACATCCATCTTGCCTCAGATCAATTCAATTAGTCCTATCCAATCCCACTTCTGACCCCAGTCATCGCATGTATGAGCAACTACAAACAGATTTTGACTGACGATACAATTTATTGGACTCTTTTGATACAGCATGTGACTACACTTTGCATATATATATATGAGGGGGGACCCAAAAATAACCGGAAACGACCTGTTGCGCGCACATGCTTTGTAGTTACGAGTTGTGCTGCTAGGTGGTGTTAGCTGGGGGTCTCCTGCGACTGTTAGTGAGCTGGCGTCAGTCTGAGTTAAGTGGTTTGTCTGTGGTGCTCTGTTGTGTGCATACCTGTTTCAACCCTTTGGTGATTAGTGAGATGGCCGACCAGAAGGAACAATTCTTTTAAGAAATTCTGGATCGTTCTGCACTTCACTTTTCAAGTAGCGGCAAACATTTTCAAGTAGCGGCAAACATTCACGCGGATTTCTTTTTGGTCATCTCCAAGCAAGCGAGGAACAAATTTTNTGGCATGTCTTCTGTTGACATGTTGCCAGATTTGAAACGGGAAAACCACTCGTAGACCTGTGATTTCCCCAAAGCATCATCATTAAAGGCTTGCCGAAGCATCCCAACAGTCTCGGCTGCAGTTTTCCCTAACAGAAAGCAAAATTTCACGCACACTCTTTGTTCCTTCTGGTCGGCCATCTCACTAATCGCCAAAGGGTTGAAACAGGAACGCACACAACAGAGCACCACAGACAAACCACTTAACTCAGACTGACGCCAGCCCACTAACAGTCGCGCGAGACCCCCAGCTAATACCACCTAGCAGCACAACTTGTAACTACAAAGCATGCGCGCGCAACAGGTCGTTTCCGGTTATTTTTGGGTCCCCCTTCGTATATATACACAGAGGGTGTCACAAAAAAATATACCTACTGTTTGACTGTCCATAACTCACTGAAATTTTTATATTTTTCTAGGTATAAGTAACTTGAAATAATGGAAGTTTTGGGGAAATAAAATTTGTGCTGGAGTGCTACTGGAAGTACGAGAACATCACTGAAGTTCAAAGACAGTTTACAAGGGAATTTCAAAGATATCCACCACCACTACAACCCACTGCTTGCATCAGAGATAAGTTTCAAGCAATTGGAACTGTTCAAGACGTCCATAAACAATGTTCCGGAAGACCAGTCATCTACCAGTCCCGCAAGAGAACTGCTGGAAACCCTCCTCCGATCCCCAAAGAAATCTGTACGGCAAGTGGCTCGTGAGACAGGAATCTCTAAACTGATCATCCATCAGATTTTGAAGAGAGTCCATTGGAAAAGTTACACTCCAACATTCCATGCAAGCAATGGTACATCACGTTGGTGGATTTCTTTGAAACTCCCTTGTAAACTGTCTTTCCACTTCAGTGCTTCATGCTTCCAGTAACACTTCAGCAGAAATTTTCTTTCCTCAAAACTTATTCGTACTTCCACCATTATTTCATGTTACTTATACCTAGAAATATATAAAAATTTCAGTGAGTTATGGACAGTCAAACAGCAAGTACATTTTTTTGGGGGGGGCACTCTACATGTATATCCCTCTCCCCTTCTCTCTCGTACTCGGGGTTCTTGAACTATCCCCGGCCTCAGCTACCAGCTTCTCACAGTAACAGCTCACAATGACTGAACCTCTGCAGTTCTCTAAGTCACTTACTGACTGACTGACTGACTGACTGACTCACTCACTCACTCACTCTCTCTCTCACTCACTCACCAATATGTACTAACGACTCACTAACTGTCCTGCTTATAACATCTTGGCATGGATCGCACAGAAGACAACCATTCCATTACTGCTATGCAAATGTTGCCACAGAAACATACTTCTTTGCGAAGCCATTATTTAGCAGTGACTGTTGTATAGCCGCTTCTTTCAGTCACTGCCTAGCAACAGGTGTAAACACACAATTTTAAATGATTTTCCAACATTATGGTGCTACAAAGAAAACTAACTTTCTTCATATTTCCCTCATTTTACATTTGTAACAAACGTAACTGAAGGAAGACGAGAGGAGCTAAATATGAACCAGCTGAGTTGAGACAGGATTATTTTCAGGCCACCTATTCAGGCTGGGGATAGGAAAAAGTCCTAGCCAAAGAAAGATAAAACAAATCTCATGAGTCCTATGTGAATGTGAGGTATTAGCTGATAAAGATTCACCATCTGCAACTGCATTTCATAAAGCCAACTGATTATCAAAATGCCCCATAAGGAAAGTACTACACTTCAGTTTGTAGGCAAGGACTGCTAGAGAGCTAACATAGGAAGGGGATGTAATTTATTCTTAGTCTTTAAAAAAAAACTCTGTGCTTTTTGTCCGCAAGCAAACTATACTGACTTATCACGATACATGATAACATATCATATTGTTTTAGGCCAAGAAATACAAATGTGAAAATGGAAGAGAGTTTCAGGTTACATTAAAAAATTTTAATTTCATCACTGTAACAATTATGATAATAGTAGCAGCAGCAATAAGGCCACACCATAGCTCAAGAAGTTGGTTGCTGGCTTCCCACCGTGGTGGCCCAGGTTCGATCCCAGGTCTGGTCAAGTGGGATCTGTAGTGGACAAAGTGGCGCTGGGGCGGGTTTTCTCCGAGTAATTCGGTTTCCCCTGCCAATCTTCATTCCACCAAATTCTCCATCATCATAATCACCCAGGGCAGGATACAATAGGCCAATCAGTGGCCGCCATGCCGAGTGGACCCAGTTGGACTCCACCCCCCACTAAGCAAAAAATTTTTAGCAGCAGCAATAGACCTGTAGGATTATAGCTCCATGCAATAAGGAAAACTGGCTTTTACTAATTATAGCTTGAAACTCTTGTTCTCTTATCAGCTAGTTTGTTTCTTGCAGTCTTGCATCATACAGAAATGTGGGCCTTATAACCTGTTAGTATACAAGATTATTGTGAATTTCTGTTCACCAGCTTGCAAAATGACCTCATCATAGGCAAAAAAGTGACCACCTTTTTAAGGCATTAACTATAAAGTCCCTCCCCAAAAAAGAAACAGTACTTTCCATACCTGATAACACATAATCACGCTCCTGCTGAGACTTGTCACCATGAATGCTTTTTGCAGGCCACCTGTTAACAATTGAATATATCACCAGCATTAATTACTACCTGAGAGTGTTCTAAATTAGTAGACAACAGATAAAAGCAGGTTCCTAACCATCCTCTCCCCTAATGATCACAGATCAACATTTCACCCAATTTTATTGGTCTGGTCCAAAATTCCACATGAACAAGGTTTATAACCCTCTGGTTCCTGATGTCAAGCGTAGTTCAGTGCATTAGCAGAGTGCCATGGTACACAACATCAAGGTAAACTTTTCTTCAATATCAAATTGAAACTCACATCAGAAAATCTAATGGAGATGATAAGATCAATCGAAGCCTGGGTATTTTATGAAACCCTGAACAAAATAAATGTTTACTCTTAAATAATGAGAATTCTAACATCTCTTTACCTGTTGTTAACAAGATGTGAGAATCATGGCATCCAGCTTAAACATGGGTTTTTGCAAGCACTGTATTCAGCAAAGGTGGCTTCAAGGAGTTTATCCTCTCTAACCTGTTTGTGGTTCTTTCCTGAATCTTCAACCTTATATAAATGAACAGATTTTCAAAGTCTTGCACTTGTCAGTTCCTTGGAACCAAATGCCATTTCCTTGTACTGTCAGTTAAGCACAGTGCATGTAAGGGGCTACACTGTGCTCAAACCTCTGGCTTTGTCAAATGTGAGGAACAAATATTCACTTGACTGTAATTATTCCACCAAACAGCTTACAGTGTTGTGCACAAATAATTTGTTTTGGGCACAAAATAAGAAATGAAACTGAGTTTGTTGTGTTCTAAGTTTGCATCCCAGGTCACGTGTTCTCTGATAAGCAGTAATGCCAACAATCTTCTTTCCCTTCAATTACTAGTCTGACCATGTTTGCTTCTTACTCTTTCAGCCCTGTAGGTGGCTGTCTGAGGTCCTGTTTCATGGCTCAAAGGGAATTATTCTGGTTTGAGCATGTGATGAGACACCCTGAAAGATCTCAAGCAGAGACATGCTCCACCACATCAGCAGGTGGGTCATATATGAAATTCTGGCTCAGAATTAAATGCAACTTTGGCCTGCTGGAGAGGTAACTAGTACTAAAATTTCTGTATTGTAATTTAACCAGACAGATTTCTCATTTTGGTGACATCTAAATATAATATGGATATTTGAGGACAGCTTAAACACTATGTTATGGGCTACCCACATTATAAGCAAAACTAGCAATTCTATTCTGAAACAAATAAAGACCACATGAGAGCTCCTCCATCCAACTACTCTGAAATGTATGATATTCATCACTAACTTGTTTTCTTTAATGCAGTCAGACTAGGACACAACAAGCTGTTTAAAAAACAACTTGATGAATAATGTTCATGCACTCAAATATACTAATGGTAAACAGCACCTACCTACAATCAACTGTGTGGGGAACTGCCAAATCATTTTCATACACACATACATACATTTTTCCCAGTTGTTTCTGTTAATTTTTTTGATTTTATGTTAATCCCTTAGTTTTGTTTCTTGATAACACTTCTAGCCTACTAGAACTACTCTTCTAATACTGTGTTCACACTGACAAATATCACTGCATAATCACTCCATTACAACTTTCCCACACAACAGACACGTCAAACCTACTTTTAACCAACATATAGTATCTACAAGCCACCATTTCAAAATCATAATGTTACTTCACTTCAAACTTGCAGCCAAAAGAGATGAAGTTCACACACATCAAATCACAAAAATGCTGACAACTTCCAAATATGGGCTGCCAGCTGACCTGATTTTGTTGCAAAATGGAATATTCAACATCATGAACATCGACCAACAAAATTTCCGCGCCAGTACACGACAGCAAATTTCTGGTTTCAAATGAAGCATTTTTAATTTGCACATACTGTTTTAAAATATTCTGAGATTATTATTTTGAACTCAATAACTTGAGTCTTTCATTATAGGAATTCACTCCCAGGCCACACTAGAAGTGCGGCAGGCCATGTGTATCCTGCAGGTTGCTCTTCCCTGTGCTAGACACACACTTCATTTCATGGCAGACTCAAGGCACTGTGCCACCAGAATCTCCTTTAAGAAAAGTAGGGTTCAATTTCCTGTCACACCTTCAGTTTGAAGCAAATGATAATGAAGACGAAGTTGAATGGTGTAGTACAACATTAGTAATGGAAGAAAGAGATGGGTGAAGAAGCATAATGTATTTTCAGCAGTGTAACCATACACATCCTTCACGGAAAGTCTTATTTGTTTGTAAGTAACGGTTAAGTTTAGCTGTAGAAATGAGATGCCCCGGAGGGATCATGGTCCTCTGAATTGGCCTTTTGTTGCGAGGGACAGAAGGGAGGTTGGTGAGTCCATTGCATTCAAGGGGGAGTAGGTATACCTTCTTTCGTCCGTGCCTGTGGGGGTGGAGGACCTGTGGATCGAAGCTTCGAGAAACTTCTAGAAGGTGTGCAGACCGGAAGGGGTCCGTGTATTTGGTCATGAAAACCTCCCAGTGGAAAGTTCGAGATGGCTAAGAACGTGGTTTCTGGAAGCAGCAGCGGGGGTAAGGGGTCAGTTAGTGGGTAGAGGCCAGGGAGTGAGGGTGTTCATGTGGAACCTGTGCTAGGGGGTTAACCGATCGAGCCCGCATCCAAAAAAACGACGTAAGCGAGCCAACACCTGTGTACCCCTGGGATGTAAGACTCATTCCGCTGAATTTAGTCGAGGCATACACCGCGTGAAGTGAAGCGTGTGGGGACGGGTGTAGCAGCAATGGACTATAATAACAATATTAACAAGTATGAGACGAGAGTGTAGCTGAAAGAGCAGTGGCCACACCGCTATGTTAGAAATAAAAGACAAAGCAACCATAAATGAGCAACTCACTTCAATGGACTTTCAAAGAAAAGTGAAGTAGGTAAGTTCACATGATATTTCATTAACATTAATATAATTATTAAAAAAAGAGAATAGATTTTAAAATAATGCACGTTAATTCTTTTCAAGTCTGGAGCTACATTTAATGAATATAAGAATGAAGGAACAGAGTCAATACATAGTTTCTTCAACAATATTTTGACTGAAGTTGTCACAGAGTATATAAAATGTTTTTTTTTAATATGTACTAACAAATGCACAATAATGCACTGTATTGGGACAGCTGCCTATATCAGCATATATGGAATTTCTTCAGCAGTGAATATAAAAAATTTACATATTAATTTGTAAAGAATGTGGAAGGAAGCAGTTGAGATCTAATTTAAGGTATACCTCAGAATTAATCTGAGTGACAGAAAATAATAAAAAAAAATCAGTCAGGATTGCTGATTTCAATGGCACAGTCAGGATTGTTGATTTCAATGGCAAAGTTTGGTTTTGTTCACTTCATTTGTTTCAATGTTCACTCCTGCAGATACAAATTCACTATTCTCAAGCCAACCACACTACAGATTTCAAGCCATACATAGCCAACGTTATTTATTCTTCCACGTTAAATGTTCGCCATTTAAAAACCTGATACAACAAAAAAAAGCAGAACTTAAAGTGGGATTCAAGCAATATGTAAAGCCATGATCTGTGCTACACAAATACTAACCAAAATGAAATTTGTCTAACAATGTTTAGCACATACATAACACAGGCTCACTCTATGTGAACTTCATGCCTACTTACCCATATCTGCTAATGCTCCGTGTGATATCATCAACTTTCCTCTTTGTTTCAACAAATATAATTGTCTTACTCTCCTCTTCTTGTGATATCTCCTCCAGAAGTTTCAGCAACCTAGTGAAGTTCATTATCAACATAAGAAAATTTGCAGACAAGATACATGTACTGATGCAGTTATCCACAAAACATGACCGGATTCATAAAAATCTCAAATCTTGATACAGTCATATTCCATTTTTTACATGCTGTGGATTTAACCTAAAACTTCAAGGTGTAAAAAAGGAATCAAGTTCATAATTTACTCCAGCCTAGCCTACACATAAATACTGGTACATTAAGATAACAGAGGACTGCAGTAGCATAGTTGGTTGAGGCACTATGCTACAAGCTGAAAGGTCGCAGATTTGATTCTCAATGAGGTCAATGGATTTTTTAATTGACCTAATCCTTCCAGCCACACTATGGCCCTGGGGTCAACTCAGCATCTAACAGAAATGAGAACCAGGAATCTTCCTGGTGGGTAACGGGCAACCAGCATGTAAGGCTGACAACCTCATTGTCATCTGTGGGCCAAACGCGTAGAAAATGTGGGAGCCTTGACGTCTCAAAACCTTAGGGACCTCCAGGGCCTGTTACAGGTATAGCTTCACCTTTTAATGTTTTTTTTTTACATTAACATAGCAAAATTTAAATAACCACTGCATAGTCTGTCAATGGCAGATGCCACTTAAGAACACAGTTCATGGCTGTCCCCAACACTGACCACGGACAGCTCTGTGAACATGCAGAACTTGTAAATAAAAGTTGCATACATCTCATGAGAAAATCCGTACCAAGGCAGCTTATCAAAATGATTAACAGTATTAAACACATAAATGTTTTCTATTTCAGTTTATGCTGTTACATGTACTGCAGACAGAACGGTTACCATGAAAGCAATGACCCAATAGCCTCGTGGCTAAGTTGTCAGCAGCGCATCGACCTGCATAGTCTTGTGGATCTGACGTCATGTTCCAGAGGCTTCTTGAGGGAGCAAATGAGAGGATTCCATGACTTGCTGAGACAAAACCCCACCTCTGTTCATGTTCTTGGGATGGACCTCAATCTCAATGGCATCCCTAATGATGCGATCCGTGTATTGGGGCTTTGTGGCAAGGACAGTGATATTGTGAAGCTGAATGCAAGGTCCAAAGTTGACACTGTGTACGGCCATGGCTAACTTGTCTGGATGTTCAAGACGGATGTGTCACTGGTGTCCACAGAACAGTCTCTCTGCCCAAAGTAGACCGTGTCGCACTCACAGGGTATTCTACATACACCCAGTGTCCTTAGTCCCAGGTTATCTTTGACTGGCCAGAGGAAACGAGATACATTTCTTTGGAGCCAGGCCCACTGATCTGATGATGTGCCAGGACAGCACTCTGCTGATTCAGTTGAATATAGTCCGGACACTGGCAGGAAGATGACTGAGTCTGGTTTATCATTGGCCTGACTGGTGCTCTGACATTTGAGGACTTTGTAGATATGCCAACCATTGTAACAGTTCTGCATGAAAATAGCCCTCAGGAAAACCAACTCTGCATGTAGGCTGTCTTGAATCCATAGAGCTCTAGCCCTGTGCACCAGTGTGGAAAGTACAGCTTGCTTGTTGGGTGGCAGTGGGACCCAGCATTAAGGCAGAGGTTGGTATGCATAGGTTTACAGAACACTGTATGGCCCAGAGATCCATCAGGTCTCCTGTAAATATCTATGTCAAGGAAGGGGAGGTGTCCTTCAGTATGTCATTCACCATGGAGACCAAAATTGTGGCACATCATTACGCCAACCAGGAAAAGGCATTTTCACTAGAACTGATCATATACCTCACTACTAGGTGAAATGCAATGAACTTGGTTGAGCTCATGTGAGTAGGATACATATATAAGCATGCTGTCGCATTTTCATTCATTAACTATATTTAAAAACTTGCAGAGAAAAGAGCATGGCTGATGGAAATGGCAAACTCTGTCATATAATATTAAAAATTTCTTACTTAGTTTCCTTCTCATATTCCTGACACACATCAATAATCTGAAGAATGTTATGGTTGGCTGCAAGTTGAAGTGAACCAATGTTGATTTGGATGTAGTCATTAAGAAACTCCTCTGCCAAATTACGCACTTCCTTGGGCCATGTAGCAGACCACATCAGTACCTGTCGATCAGGCTGCAACACAAACATTTTAAGTTAAATTACAGCATATTCAGTCAATCCTACAGAACTTACACCTGTCCACTGCCATAAGCACTGTTTAGCACATGCTGAATCACTGTACAGAGGTTATTTCCAGCTGTATATTTTGAATTTTTACAGTATCTTTCATAAAATACCATCTGAACTTGAACTTACATAAGACCAATGAACATGTATCATAGTATTCCATTCTCCTGTATGAAATCAAACTCTGATCTATCATGTAACTAGTCACTTTACTGACTGATAAGGAAACCGAAACATACATCTTGACAGACTAAGCGGAGGAATGTGATAGTGTACTGCAGAAAACCCTCAAATTTAAGTGGCTACACCACAGCACTACCTTTAAATTCAGATTATAACTTAATGCCAACTGATGGAACTATTGTTAATCAAAGAGTTGAACAATCCATGAGCAAGTATTTCTGGCCATTCGGGGTCCATGCACCAGCAAATTTTTTTACGTTAACTTCACTATGAAACACCACCGTACTTCAGATTTGTGGTTACTATTATATTTGTATCAGCATACTCGAATCTGTTCAATGATCTTGCGTATCTGTGGTTCAAATCCCATGTCAAGCATCCTGTCTGCCTCGTCCAGAACAAGGTAAGTACAGCGCTTCAGGTTGGTAGTTCCTCTCTCCAGAAAGTCAATCAGACGACCAGGAGTGGCAATGCATATCTCCACACCTCGTTCCAAGTCTCGTGCCTGACTCAAAAGAGAAATATTAGGTCAATATCTCCTAACAGGACACTGTAATAACATCATATTTGCTGCATCTGCTACATATTACCTGTGGACCTTTTGGTGCCCCTCCAAAGACACACGTATTACGGACATGTGATGATGCTCCAAAGTCCTGTGCTACCTGTTGAATCTGCTGGGCCAGTTCTCTGGTTGGAGCCAACACTAAAGCAATTGGACCATCACCTCTCAAAAGACGAGGTTGGCTGTTTATATGGACAATTGCTGGAAGAATGTACTGAAAGAAAATTAAACTAGCTTTGTTACTCTGGTACACATGTGAAGTATATGAAGTGCAGGTTGTACAGGAAAAGATGCATCTCTCAACTCTTGTAAGCATTCTAGTGGCTTCCTGAGCGATCAGTCACTTTCAGCAGTATCTTCATGCACTCATCTAACTCAGCAATACCCAAGTAATAACTTACTGTATATATTCACATCTAGCATCGCTGTCTCTGAATCTGACATCTGAACTCACATCAAGTCATTATAACATACCTCCACTTACATGGGACTTCATATTTTTCACAATGTCAAGATACAAGAAACAAATCAACAAATACTGATAGTGGATACAAATGCATACATACTACAGTTAAAGCAAGAACCACTTTTAAATTATTTCCATAAGATGGAAGGACGACTCAGACAGGTTCAGAAAAGTATACAGTAAATACACTTAACACAATAATACTGAAAATCTTTCAACAACCCCAAACCTGGCATTTAAACTCCTACTAGTTGTACACTGCAGTGGTAGTTTAATGGCCCTACAGCAAACATGTCTCACAGGATTCTTTCATTATCATAAAACTTGGAAATTATAAAAGCAAACTTTCTGAAATTTTTAGATATATTACAAATAGCCCCCTCGTTGGTGTCTCCACCTTATCGTGGTGAGGGGGTTTGAGTATGCCAAGGACCCTGAGAGCTATACCAGCGGTAGCGTAACTACTGGCAAGGCTTCCCTTGCTGGACAGGTCAAAGGTTAGGCAACAGACGAAGAGAGAGACCAAAAACCAAATACTGATGCTGGAAGCAGCATCATCAGCAACAACTTGAAGCACAGAGAAAATGATGCTCGAGATGGTTCAAGTTCATATAGCAACGGGCGTGACCAGAGTGGCTTGAACGGCTGTTGTACTGCGATGTGGAAAGCAATGGAAAAACTACCACATTATCACTTTTTCTGGATAGTCTCTTTCCAAAAACAGAGATACCATGTATGCAAGAGAGTGGCGGATAGAAGTTATCAGAAGACGTAAGAAGATACTGGATGATCTTGGGGACAGAAGAGAATATTTTTATTTGAAGGAGAAAGCTCTAGATCGCATTAAATGGAGAAACGGTTTTGGAAGAGACTGTGGACCTGTCGTCTGACAGATTACTGATAAATGAATGAATGAATTACAAATAGTCTAAAATCTCATGAAGCATATATTTTTATAAGATCTTATCTCATTTTCGGAGCCAGGATAGAGTAGCTGGTATAGCAACTGGCTACAGGCTGGATGATTGAAGGATCAGAGTTTGAGACCTGGCGGGGGTAAGATTTTCTCCTCTCCTAGTAGTCCAGACTGGCTCTATGGTCCACCCAACCTCCTATTCAATGGGTACCAGGGGCTCTTCCCCTGGGGGTAAAGCAGCCGGGTCATGAAGCTGAACACTCACCTCCAGCTGCTGCAGAGGTCAAGAAAATGTGGAACTATATATCCACTCCCCCATATGCCTGCATGGCACAGTGCTTCACTTGTTAAGCACAGGGACTTTACCTTTTACCTATCTCATTTTCTGTTAGAAAGGAGCTTTGGTGTAGTAGATCTTGAAGCAGTGATCAAAGCACAAATCTATTACAAAGCGACTGCACCAAAATGAGGTTTCGTTTTCTTTTTCCACCTGCCCACTTGTCTTGCAGCAAACTGCACACCTCTTCATGTGTTTCACCTTCTCAGAGGGAGGCATCCTTTCTACAAAATGTCTTTGTCAGTCTGTCAGATGTCAGTGTTTTCAAGGAGGTTCCAAAGCCTTCCTAGGTGCTTCAAATAACTCTTTTTATTATTTTGAAGTCAATGCCAGATGGTTTAGTTGCTTTATGTTCTGACTTTCTCCACAAAGCACAAGGACATTATGTAACAAAATATTTAGCAACACCTGAACAGTTCTGTGTGTCAGTTTGTGCTTCTCTTTTACTCAAATTCATATGACTGCAGATTTTGATCGTTCATATCTACTCCTCCCATGAATTGATTATAATCACTTACACCTCTCAGTTTATGTAGGTCTCTTCCTCTTCTCAAAACTTCGCCATAGTGTCAGTGTGAAATGTGGAAATGAACGACACAGACTTCAACAGTTAAGATAAGAAACTCTTGAACTTATTCAAAATGTCATGGGAATCTGCCAGCAGATCACCCTTCTCATCCATCATCAAGTTAGTTCTAAGTTGGTACCTCTTCTTATACACATTAATGCCTCTATGTAAGTCTCTAATGGTCCTGCTCTGTGTGCTGTACGCTCATTAGTTTTGTCATTCAGAGAGTCCCTCTTTTTGTTCCTAAAATGTATACTAACATCACATATTACACTGTTCAGATTATCTCCATTTATCCAACTTCGATCCTATAACCATTATACCTGGGCTTCTTTCCTCTCATTGGCTAATATTCTTATATTCTAATAGTCTCCAAAGCTCTACTGAAATCCACATCATCCTCTTGGTTTTCCAAAGCTGTGAACCTCTGTGATTTTAACCTGATGTTCTTTACCTTCCACTTTGTTGTTTCATGAGATTATACTTCTCCATGTCAAACTTCTGTCTTATTCACTTACTTACTCTATATAACTTCTGCAACCACCACAAAGTGGTTGCTACAAATCAGCTACTCTGAAAGACTGAACAGCCAGAGTACTTCAGTGCTGGCTCAAAATGTGATCAATCCATGTCTTTCCACGAGATGTTCAAGTGAATTTATGAATGTTGTAATGTGGAAATGTGGTACTCCTGCCAATTAGGTTTTTGGATGTGGCAAAGTTCACTAATCTAACTTCATGTAAACTCTCTTTCCCAACTGTTCGTTTTAAAATATTTTCTCTGCCTACTCTGGCACTGAAATGTGGGAACAAAATTTTCATGTGGTACTTAGGGAAAGAAAGCCTATGATTCAGTTAGGATGGAAGTATTGTATAATATTCTGATAGAATTTGTAGTACCCATGAAACCTAGTGAGGCTGATTAAAATGTTTTTAAACGAAACGTATAGTAAAGCCCGCATAGGTAAACATTTGTCCGATAATTTTCCTATCCAAAATGGTCTAAAGCACGGAAATACTTTATTGCCACTGCTTTTCTATATTACTTTAGAATATGCCATTATAAAGGTCCGAGAAAACGAGGTGGGACTGAAATTCAATGGGACACATCAGCTGTTGGTCTATGATGATGATGTGAATCTAACCATAAAGAAAAACACACAAACTTTAAATGACGCTAGTAAGAAGGTTGGTCTAGAAGTAAACATAGAGAAAACTATGTATATGCTGCTGTCTTCCCACCAGAATGCAGGGCAAAATCATGACATAAAGACAGCCAAACAGATGTTTTGAAAATTTGGCACAGTTCAGATATTTTGCAAGCACTATAATAAATCAAAACCTGATTCAAGATGAAATTAAGAGAGGGCTGAATTCCTGTGATGCTTGCTACCATTCAGCCCAGAACCTTTTGTCTTCTTGTCTGCTGTCCAAAAACATAAAAATTAGAATATACAAAACTATAATTTTGCTGTGGTTCTGTATGGGTGTGAAACTTGGTCTCCTGACATTAAAGGAGGAACACAGACTGAGGGTGTTGAGGAGAATATTTGGACCAAAGAAAGATGAAGTGACGAGAGGTTGGAGAAAACTACTATGTATGAAGAGCTTCGTAGCCTGTACTCTTGGCCAAGTACAATTAGAATGCTCAAGTCAAGAAGGATGAGATGGGAATGGCATGTAACATGAATGGCGGTGAAGAGGAATGCACATACGTTACTAGAGGGAATGCCAAAAGGACAGAGACCACTAGGAAGACAAACATGTAGGTGGGTGCATCTTAGAGAAGTAGGATGGGATGGTGGATTGATTGGCTCAGGATAGAAACCAGTGGCGTGTTCTTGTGAATGCAGTAATAAACCTTCGAGCTCCATAAAATGCTGAATGGCTGCACAATTAGCGGCTTCTCAAGAAGCACTCAGCTCCATGATTGAGTAATGAGTGAGGGTAATTAGGGAACTGAATGAATATGCACTCTAGTTCCCGACAGCGTTGCTAGGCTGTTGGCAAACGCAGCGTCAGACAACAGTGGTGCCTATTACGTAACTGTTTTCTGTGTTGTCCGTAACGGGGCTAAATAAGGAGCAGCGAAGACTATTCAAGTTACTTACGAGTTGGCCAGGGAAGAGTATCCAGTCTAGTATTTGTAATACTGCAGATAGCAGTAGTTGTGAGATTGTAAACTTTGTGATTGCAAGAGCGAATGTGCTATAAAATTCGCTATATCCAATAAGGCGTGAAGCTATTTGTCGCGTTCTACATCCAACACGTAACAGTATAGTAAAGTCTGTATAGGTAAACATTTATCTGATAAATTTCCTATCCACAATGGTCTAAAACATGGAGATGCTTTGTCGCCACTCCTTTTCAACTTTTCTTTAGAATATACCATTAGGAAGGTTGAGGAAAACCAGGTGGGACTGAAATTAAACAGGACAAATCAGCTGTTGGTCTATGCCGATGATGTGAATCTACTGAGTGATAATATAGATACCATAAAGAAAAACACACAAACTTTAACTGATGCAAGTAAGGAATGTTATATTTTAGCGTCCTGTTGCACTGATTTAAGTCCATGATTTATTTAATCCGTCTTGCAGTGCATACACTCATTTATTTCCTTCTCTCCCTCGCACTACATGTTTCGGCATAATAATGCCATCTTCAGGTGCTTACTTATCCACGTCAAACCAGTTCATTGCATGCCATGTTCACACATTAAAATAACTAAAATATGTATCTATCTATCTATCTTTGACAATGTATATGATAGATACATATTTTAGTTATTTTAATGTGTGAACATGGCATGCAATGAACTGGTTTGACGTGGATAAGTAAGCACCTGAAGATGGCATTATTATGCCGAAACATGTAGTGCGAGGGAGAGAAGGAAATAAATGAGTGTATGCACTGCAAGACGGATTAAATAAATCATGGCAAGTAAGGAAGTTGGTCTAGAAGTGAAGAGAGAGAGAACTAAGAGTATGTTGCTGTCTCATCACCAAAATGCAGGGCAAAATCATGACATAAGGATAGGAAACAGATGTTTTGAAAATGTGGCACAGTTCAGATATTTGTGAACAATAACAAAACCTGATTCAATATGAAATTAAGAGGAGATTGAACTCGGGTAATGCTTGCTACCATTCAGTCCAGAACCTTTTGTCTTCTCATCTGCAGTCCAAAAGCATAAATTTATAATATATAAAACTATAATTTTGCCTGTGGTTCTGTATGGGTGTGAAACTTGGTCTCTGACATTGAGGACCATAAACTCAGGGTGTTGAGGAGAATATTTGGACCGAAGAGAGATGAAGCGACTGGAAGTTGGAGAAAACTGCATGAGGAGCTTCACAACTTGTGCTCTTCTCAAAGTATAATTTGAATGATCAAGTCAAGGAAGATGGGGTGGACAGGGCACGTAGCACAAACGGGGGAGATAAGGAATGCATATAGGATATTTTTGGGAAAGCCAGAAGGAAAGAACCACTGAGAAGACTAAGGCATAGGTGGGTGGACAATATTAAAATGGATGTTAGATAGGATGGGCTGGTATGGATTGGATTGGTCTGGCTCAGGATAGGGACCAGTGGAAGGCCTTGTGAACATGGTAATGAACCTTCGGGTTCCAGAAAATGCAGGGAAATTCTTTGGTAGCTGCAGAATTGCCCGCTCCTCAAGAAGGGCTCAGCTCCGTGAGTAATTTTTTTATTGCTAGTGGGGTGGGACTAAGTCCTTTGTACTGCAGCCACTTCTGGCCTATTGTACCAGCCCCAGATGATAGGTGAGGGTGATTGTGGAGCAATTGGTGGAATGAAGATTGGCAGGGGAAACCGAAGTACTCGGAGAAAACCTGCCCTAGTGCCACCTTGTCCACCACAAATTCCACTTGACCAGACCCGGGATCGAACCCAGGCCACCGCAGTGGAAAGCCAGCCACTAACCGCTTGAGCTATGGCACGGCCAGGCGCCATGAGTTATGAAGTTGCATTATAGACCTTATACTTATGATCTATAAATGACAGACTGCAATGTCAGTTTCATTCCATGTCACTATTCAGTGAGGGGCTGAAAATTAAGTCCAGCAAAGGGTGGTGTGAACAAATGACATGGAGGAATACCTACTCTTTACAGCAAAGACCATAACTTAACAAGAAGTTACCATCACAATTCAACGCACTGTCAATGAAAAACCAGAGTATTTTGATGCCCCACCCAATTATTCCACTGAGAGTAGAGGCAAAATCTGCTGTCATAAAATTTCAGGCAATGAAAAGATGGAAGCGGCTGTAATGTTAACAGTTGTAGGCAGCATGAAACTACCTCTGTACATGGTATTGAATCAAAAGAACTATGCCTAAGGCTAAGTCATCTTGGAAACAATATCATCTGTCAAACTAAATGTGGATGACTAAACAAATTAATGGTGGACGGGTTACAAGCTGTGTGGAGCAAGAGACAAAAGAACTGTTGACATAGTGAAGAATGGTTGTGCTGGACATATATAAGAGGTCGAATTTATGTGTCAGACCTGTGATTCATGCAATGACTACTGACCTTGTGGTCATACATGGTGGAGTGACGTCTTACTTACACATGCTAGTAAATAAGCCTTTAAGGATCATTTGAAACAACTGCATTCTGAATGGTTCTTGGCATGGTCCATGTTCTGACACCAACTGGGACAATAAAGTAGTCCAGCACAGAACTGCTGTGCCAGTAGACAAAGACCATTGAGCTGGATCTCTCCAGAAGTGGTACTCAAAGAATTTCAAAAGTGCTGTGTACCTGAACAGGAGAATGTGGAAGACACTGGGAATGTTGGCCGCGAATGTGTGTGTAAGCCATGAATGTGAAACAGAAAATGTGAGCCTATAAGGATAGTGAACAGAGCAAGTGAACAGAAGCTGGATAAAGGTTAATGATTTCATGAAGGAAATTACTTCAATATCACACATTTTCTAATATTAATTCTCCTTCACATGTTTACTAAGCGTCTGAAATTAGTTCATAAAATTTTTTCATTGTGCAGATGTTTCCTAGTGCAGATCATCTCACATTTAAAATCAAATTCCATTTGGACCAATACAGCAACACGCTTTCCATCTCAGTTCTTGAAATTGTTTCTAAATTCTTGAACTGAGAAAGTCTTTCTTGCACATTCCTTTCACAAATATATTCAGTTCTTTTTTTAATTTGTTTCATTCTGGTTCGTCACACTAACAGGTTTACAATTAAGTTTATTTCAGTCCAATGTGACATGTGTCACACTGGACTGAAATAAACTTAATTGTAAAAAAAGATATTCAGTTTGTTCATTTTATTCGTCAAACTATACCTAAATACATACAACTTATGTCTTGCGAGTATTTGAATGGCAGAACCTGATTCAAACAAAACTAAGGCAGAAAGAACACTGTTCCCTACCAAAGCCAACAAGAATTTTTCCATGTTTAAAACATATTGTGAGAAAGAGTTAAGAGAGCTTGCATCAATTCCTATGCTCCCACATGGAAAATGCCCTTTAATAGCAGAGCCCTCCTTATAGTTTAGTTTACTTACAGCCAGCGTTTTCCCAGAGCCAGTTTGTGCTATCCCAACCATATCTCTGCCACTCATGGCAATTGGCCAGCCTTGGGCCTGAATGGCTGTGGGATCTTCAAAACCTTGTCTCCTGCAAAGGAATCTGATGATCAGCACCATTACCATGTAATCATCTAACTGGCAGTGAAATTACCAAAACTAAAGATTACCTGATTTCATTCATGACATAGTCAGGAAAGTTACCCTCATCAAAGCCAAGGTTAGGGTGTGGAACATTATTGCCTTTCACTGTTATTTCCTTGCATGATCTGTATTTGATTACTTCATGCACTGGCCTGAAATAAAATCAACATTGAAATCACAGCATATTCATCCATAATTTGTGCATCCCTGCATGGACCTTGTCTTACATCATAAGTAAATTAGCAACTCAGGACAATTTACCGGTTAACAACATTTTGATGTGGTACATAGAAATCTTTGCGAAATGGCTGCAGGCTACTCATGTCCCATCTTGGCTTCCTCAGCCTTTCACCTGGCTGCTTCCCCTTGAGACTATTTCCTCCTCCTCCACCACCTCCGCCACTCCCACCTCCTCCAAATCCCCTTCCACCTCCAAAACCGCCTCCACCATAACCTCCACGCCGGCCTTCTCCTGAACGGCCTCTGTCACGGTTACGATCACGATACCTACAAACAACAAATTATAAAATATGAAAAAAAAAAAACTTCGTCCATGTATTATCTACTTTCTTCACCCTGAGAAAACGAGATCTCATTACAACCTTTTCATATACTTCTATACTATTATTTCCATTCTCAAGTTCCAAGTTCTGATTGTTCTATATCGTGCTTCCAAATGCTTACGAATAACACAATTAATTATGCGAAACAACACATGTCCAAATAAACAGACAAGACACGAATAAGCATACATTATATTGAACACTAGTCCAACCAAGCAAACGAATATGAAATTAAAATTTTGACATACAAGGCTTCATTAACGAGGCCTGTTTCAGACTACACTTAAGTAAAAATAACTACTGCTGTATATTATATATTTATACCGTATATGAACTCACATGTTATTTACTGACGCTTAACGACCCTAGTTTATTTCATCCACCGATTAGACCTGCACATAAAAGACACTGCAACTTTCGATACGTGCTCCTGAAAGAAAATCATTAATTATTAAATACGAAAGCTAATGCGAAAGAAAAATAAACTGCACGGACTGGAATGTGCTGAATTAACAGCCAACGTGGATATAACTTTCCACAGTTCCACATAATTACAAAATAATCACTGGAACTCACCAACTCAACACAGACAGACAGCCGAAAAACACAAACCACCTATATGAGAACTACTTTCGGCCGGAAGTGCATAGGAAAAACTAAAATTTGTAGAATATACTTCTCCAAACAGATATATATAAATGCTTTCAAAAATAAAGACATGTATTCTTCTCTTGTGATAGAACATCACATTATGATATTTTAATAAAAATGTATTAATTAAAATACTAATATATATAGGACTACTTCTCGACTGAAACGGATGTTACGTCTACTACGTATATTGACGATATTATTCCAACCAGCGAAGATCATGTAGGGCCGAGGGCCCACCAAGAAAACTGGCAACCGCTATCTCCGACAAAAGTCGCCGATTTCAGGCAGGCAACTTAGCAGGCGCATACTGAGGAAACTTGTATATTTCAGTAGTAGCTCACATCATCATTAAGTAGGTATGTTCTTCCGACGTAATGCATGATAGCATATTCTAATTTCGTGCACTTACCTTCTGCAATTCAAGCTGATTGTTATAATATGGTGGTAGTTGAGACCGATTGAGACGGCGTGAAAAGAGAGGACGACGAACATGAGAGAGAGAAAGCGGAAATTAAATATTGGTTATATAACATTGCGTCTGACCGGACAGAAAACTCGTCGCTCTCCGTATTGTTTTAGGCTTTGCCTAGCAACGGCTGTTTACTCGCTGTTACTAAGCAATGATAGTTGCACTGTCACTGTAACGTTTGCTCCATGCCCAACCCCCAAAGTTGGAGGACCTCCCTTTTTTAGCTGTCCGTGACTGCTTATTCAATATGATCTACACTGCTGTGAATGAAAATGCAGTTGATACACATTTACTCAGAAAATAAATCACAGCTGTGCAGGAAGGTATAAATAACCTTATTAAAAGGATCTGGTTTCAGCTATTTAACATACCTGCAGTGACTTGCCCCCCCCCCTCTCTCACACACACGCATGCACACATATTCATGCTAGAAACTAATTATAACCTTATATAACTTTATTCCAATATGTTCCATGAATACATATATCAGAAGCACTGCACAGAAACAGCATTTACATAAATTTACCGGAATTTGCTCAATGATCTTGTGTATCTGGGGTTCAAATCCCATATCAAGCATCCTGTCTGCCTCATCCAGGACAAGGTAAGTGCAACACTTCACGTCTGTTGTTCCCGTCTCCAGGAAGTCAATCAGACAGAAGATGTTAAGAAGAAAAGTATAACCTCCATTTTCAGGGTCAAACATTAAGCCAAGCAAGAAACTAGCATGAAGCAGCCTGAAGACTACATAACATTATAACCCAAAACCTAGAATTATTTATAGCCATTGCTGTGAGAACATCAAATCTAACATAAAATAGATCTGTGCCTATGCTAAGGATCATGCAATGAAGAGGCATGGTGGAGTGGAGGTAAAGCTCCAGATATTCATTACTTCATGATCCAGCCACTAGACTGTCAGAGAAAGAAGGGGAGACTGTAGTGAAGACAAAGATCTATCAGGAACTGAACCCTGCTCATCCAGCCTGGGGCCCTTGCAGCATACAAGAAATAAGTTGAGAGATCATCAATATTATTACAAAATAACAACCTAGATTTAGCAGCAATTTGCAATTATACCATTCAAATGTCATGTGTGTGCATAAAATAAAGTGAAATATCTTTACTTAAACTATTTTTCTTGAGATTAAAGCCCTCAGTTTCTCGCAATAGAGTTTATCGGGTACAAAAATCACGTTTTGAGTACAAACGTGGCGGTCTACTAACAAAGCACTTAGAGGACTTTGAGCTAGTCCTGATGTACGTGTATGACAGCTATACTTCAAAATCGCTAATGTATGCTTTTGTACTAGTGTTGAAAGCCTTACGATTGTGTGCGTCTCCATTCGAGTGCTCTTTTATCATTTGTCTTAAATCAAGCTACATAAAACCTATACATACGAAAGTCTAGTCTCCAAGTGTGCAATAATCAGGAACTTAGTGAAAATATTCTATAATACTCATAGAAATTTTACAGTTAAATAATTTATAAGAGATTAAAATGCTATGTCTTATTACCAACCCAACTTTCACAAACGAATCACGCACGCGTGTCATTCACGAACTTTATTTGTTGACAGCTGACGTAAGGGCGCAACGATTACTGAGCTGGTAAGTTTGGTAATCCGTGACATCCGTGATGTATGTTGTCTGTGGTAATGACGACAATGACGATTGAAGGGACGAAGGGACGTAAGTTGCCATAAGTTGAGGTTATAGGGTTAGAGGGTCCCCCCCCCCCCAAGGGCGGTTAAGTTTGTTAGGTTTGTGGTGAAAGCAAACATGCTGGTAATTAACCAATTCGTGTACGCCTGTGTTACAGTGAATCGATATGTGCATTGGGTTAGTAATACGGAACAGTGTTGATTTGTAAAGTGTTATGCTTGCGCGAAGGATACTTCAGCCCCAAGAAAAGTGTATTCTCCTGTTCTGTCCGGTTCGCTGTTGCCGCTGTGCAAGTTGAAATTAGGTTACAAATCTGAAACTTATGAAATAAGGATGGGATCCACAACATTACTCATACGACATTTACCGTCATACTTCTCAAGTGACGAAAAAGAAGAACTTTTGAAATATTTTGGGGCAGTTCAAATTAAGGATTTGTCCTCGAAGATTAAGAAGAGTAGTATTGTATTTGCAAGGTAACACCGATCACTTCAACGTTAGTATGTTGTGTATCCTGTTGTAGGAGCTTTCTGAACGACAAAAATCGAACTGCCATACGTTTGCATTGTTTCATTATTTTTTAACTTAAGTATGAGACATGTCACTTTTCTGGATAAGGGTACTTCTTGTAATAAAACATTCAGTGCTGTTAATACGAAAATCCACTGCTGGATGATTCGTTTTAGTATAGTAGAATTGACAGTATTGCATTTTTTTAAGTGGATAAAACAGGACCAGCCAAATGCACCATAATTATGTATGACTTAAGATTTTCTCATTCTTGAAAAATGAGGTGTAGAAGGTGTAGACTAATCAGGATACGGATCAGTCACCAGCTCTCATAAATGTGGTAATGTGCCATGTGGTTCCATAAAAGGCAGGAAATTTCTTGAATAGCTAAGTAGTTTTCAAGAAAGACTGATCCAAGGAGCTACATAGTACAAGACATCCACAAAATAGTGGGGCAGTGTGCTGAAATAATGGACAGTCATGAACACTGAGGCCTCTGACAACCTTATATGTAACTTTTTATAAGAGTGCCTTAATTTAAAGGCTTAATATGATATTTTTTTTTGCAAGTGGAGCTTAATGTATAATTTTGGCTTTCAGCAATATGCCACATAGTACAGTGAAGGCTTTCCAACATTTCAGCAGACATTGCAGTTGCCATCTTCAAGGTTTGGGAGCTTTATAGATCTTGCGCTGGATAGTGAGTGGAAGGTGGATAACACCCCACTCCTCTGTTTCATCCAATCATGACATCACCTCCAAGTTACAACCTACTGCGAGATCTGTATAAGAGTTGCCAGAACTTCCCAGTCTGAAGATGGCAACTGTGATGTTTGCCAAAATATTTAAAAACCACCAACATTTTGCATGATGTATTCACTAAAGCCAAAGTCACACATTAATAGATATGATTGAGTTTTGTGCATATGATGTTTTCCTATACAAAGCTATAAAAATACAAAATTGTTGATTTACTGAGGCTGTTCTAAAATGTTGCCTTATGGGGAACAAGCAGTTATATTTGCAGGAATGTTTACCTCTTACTTTTGTTCCAGATTTGAATCCGAGGCAGCAGCTGTTGCAGCCCTTCACAGGCTGCACCAGCTAAATATTCTGGGGTATCGACTCACTGTTGAGTATGCCAGGGGTGTGGCTGATGATGTTTCTAGCCTGGTGCAGAGTGAAGAGTGAGTATATTAATCTCTACGTTCCTTCAAGTCCAGTGTATGCATGTATATCATAACCTCCTTGTTTTGTAATTTTCTTCTCAGTCTGCAGACCAGCTATCATGACTGAGATATTTCATGGTCTTTCACAGTCCCTCCAGGAAAATTCTAGGATAATACCTTCGATCTGGCCAAATCACATACTTTAAAATTCATTCACTAGTCCTACAGTTCAATACTATATCATTAAAGCTACTGAGAATATCATTAAATAAACCATAAATAAAATCTTCCATAACATATATCTCTGTTTAGGTTCTTCCCTCAGGATGACAGCCCAAGTTACTAATCCCATAAAATAAAACTCCAGTTTCATATACTTTAATTTATGGCTTTTTAAACAAGCAGTGAGAACATAAAACATTCTGGACTTCTGTATGTTATTGTATGTACTGTCCCAAGTTAAAGTCTATTCAGCCATCACATCCCAGTAATGGTGAGGTTGAAGGCAGAGTCTACCAGCTCATAATATGGAATGATTAACAGCAGAAGGGTCATGCAATTTTATAGAAACTCTGAACCATAGTAGGAGGCCTTTTATTCTTCAGTTTCAGTATTGTTAAGTGGTGAGGGAATGAAAAATTCTGGGGGAAAATTTTCACTGGACGAGGCTGGTCTTTAACCAAATTCGTTTGACACAAAAGTCTAGTACCTTATTTCTGCTCTTCAGTATAATAAAATAGACACAATCCCTGCACTTGTTGCAGCTTCCATGAGGCCAAGGAGGAAAAGGAGAACAGTCACAGATATTTGCAATTATTTCTGCACAAGTTGAAGACATGGAACTCTGCAGTGAATTTCACACAGCCTCCTCCTTCTCATCTCAAGTACCAATATCCACCCCCCACACCCACCGTTCTTCATAACATATCTTGTGCTCTGGCTTCCGTTCCAAAATTTTACACCCAAGTTCTACATCTAATGAACAAAATGAACTTACCGTGTCCCTTCCAACCTGAACCTTTCCCCAGCTCAGACATATTTCCTAGCCCTGTACATTCAGATATGAGGGAAGGGAATGACAGTGTACCACTAGAACCAACTCAGACAGTTGAACTGAATGAAGAAGAGGAGTCAGAACTTGAAAGTGAAGGAGAAGGACAGCAGTTACCAACAGACATAATTCCTGCCAAAAGGTCTCTGCCCCACAGACCGAAGAAAGTAAAGCGTCCAAAATTTATCAAGCCTGCTCTTGCAGCAACCACATCCTCTGTGAAAAGTGTAAAGCCAGAAGAGGTGTTTGAGAAAATAACATGTGAGCACATTCAGCGCAAGATTGAACTCAAATTCTCAACTGCAGTGGGCGGAGATGATGTGGAGAAGGTGGATGAACAGGGTTCTTCCCCATCTGGGGGTTTTGGTCTTATGTTCCCCGTAACAAAGAATGCTAATGAAGCAGAATCAGCTGAGAACATAGGCAGCACAGAAGATGATACATCAAAAGGCAGCACCATCACAGCTGAAGAACTGGAGGCCAATCGTGTATCTTCTAGAGGCAAGTGTTATGTTATTTCTGATCTGAATTTTGGGCCAAGCTGAAGACTATCTGTGAAGTTATAATTGACATTGGAAGGGGAAAAATAAAAGGGAAGTAGCTTCAAATGACTGACCAACCATTTATCAGAAATTAGACATAGTAATACATTGGCACTTGGTTCAATACTCCGCAGTCATAGCATGTCATCTCTAATGCTGCTTGTGGTTGAACTTTCTGGCATCTGCCTTCCTTGACTATGGTAAATGAGCCCATTTCTAATGCAGGGAAAGTGTTGATTATTACCATACAGGAAGGATAACAGCCAACAGAGGGGTCTACATGCTTAACTAGGGCTCCAAACTCCATTAAAACCTGGTGTATCTCACATTCACAAAATTTGACTTTTGTCAGGAGTGAGGGTGGGTAAAGCACAGAAATATGCACACTAAATTTAGCTAGTCTTCAACTCAAGACTTTTTGACACAAAGTTTAGCTCTCATGTTTCTTTTTCTAATTGCTGTAATGAGGGTATTACCGAACGTACAAGAGTGCAGATCCCTTGTAGCTCTTAAGGCGTTCTATTAATGCATTGGATTTTTTCTTCTTTTATGTCATGTTATGCCCCCTTCCTTCAATTTTAGACCCATTTAACTGAATTGCATGAAATCTGGAATAAACATGTTTTCATGCTCCCCACCCCCAGCCACCAACTAGAAATAAGACAACAGACACATAGACTTGTGAGGCAGGCATAACACTATCACCATAGGAGCAAGATATAATGTATGGTACTAGCTAATTCCATGGAGCAGAGGTTTTCTTGAATATTTAAGTCCCTCGGGTGTATGGCTATTGACCTAAAAAAAAAAAAGCAGTGTAAAATGTGGGAGCCATACAGTCATTTCAGTTTAGGTTTCAGTTTGACGCTAATAACTTACAGTTTCTTCAAGTCAGGAACATGTTGAGTAAAAGACAGCCTCAAATCCTACATGTTGCATGAAAATACATTATAAACATTCATGCTAATCACATATGAAATATTGTTTATAAGTAACAGTTGAGGGTGTGAAATATTGAGATTACAAGAAGAAAAGTTACATAGAATGTGTATTTCAGCAGTAACCCCCCCCCCTCTCTCACACACACACACACACACACACACAAATAATAGCAGCACTAGCACTCCGTAGCACATTTATAATTCCGTGCAATAAAAATAACTTCAGCGTGATTTCATTATGTGACCATCTATGCATCAGCCCAGCATGCCCAACTCATCAGTTAAATTGCATTATCTAAATACACAATTAACAGCAACAATATTATAGAACTGGAAGTTTGTGCAATAAGAAAGTAGACTAGTCTTTATGATTTCTGCTTGGAAATCTTTGTTCTAGATCAAAAACATCATCCAGTGTTCAGAAATTATCAGCCTGGCATCCCGTCGTGTCGGCTGTACATAAAGAACCTGGCAAAGCAAGTTACAGAGCGTGACCTCCATTACATATATCGTCGCTATCTAATATCCAGCACTGAGGAGCAAGGCAATATGTAAGTAATAATACCATTTATTTCCTGCAATTAGTAATATTGAACAAGATATCTTTCTCTGTAGAGAGATGTTAATCAGTGAGATTAAAATGGCTGCATAACTTGGTATCTGATATCTCACCTGGTAAGTTTCACATCTTATATGTGTGACCAGATTACTATTCCAGTAACATGTTATTTTCAGCAAGTTATTGCACTCTACATTTATATGTAGTTGCTGCCTTCATGGCCAAGTTTTGAGATATGAACTGAGTACTGGCATGGAAGTGATAACAGTGCCAAAGGTAGCAAAAATGCCAAAGTGGAGAGGAGTACTCCAGTGAAATACACATTTTACAAATGCATTATTTGTTTTTCCCATGTCCTTGATTGTATGCACGTCTCATATTCCAAAACTGATCGTACAATAAGTTCATACCACAGAGATTAAACAGTTATTTGTCTTAGTATTTCATTAAATATTCATAATTTTCAGAAATATTCCAAATAGAAATTGTAAATTGTAATGTCTGCTTGTCATGTAGCAACACTTTGTACAAGATAACAACTTTCAGTTTAATTCCCTTTCCTCCCACAATACATATCTTATTCCATTAAAATCCAGTCAGTAGTTTTAGAGATAAAACATGTGGACAGTCACAATTTCATATATATATATACGTTGAAGTCACTTACACATAGAATAAATGGTGAAGTAAAACAAGAAGTTTAAAATAGACTACAGACATCTTCGTATACTTCAAATGACCCTTTATTTCTCATCTATTATTTTAGTCCCTACTAGTTAATTCAATGTTATATAATAACCAGACAAAAGGAATCAAAGATAAGAAATTATCAGACTGAAATTAGCAGAAATCAAAGGGTTATTTGAGACAGAAAAAAGGAGGAGTAGTAGAAGCCTGTATAAGGCAGTCACAATGCACTGCCTCATGTAGCTGATACCAGCTAGGCTGTATTATACTGAACACATTGTGATATGCTGAATAAACTTCTGTGTGTTCTAGATCTCTCCCCACAGTTAAGTTCATTTTTCTGGGTATACACAGTGTGTCCAAGTTCTGTTAGGACTGTGTTCATTAAAAATACAAGACGTGAATTATTTTCAAAATTTCACTCTTTTTATTCAAAATAGTCTCCTTCTGAATCAATACATAGTTGGAATCAATTGAAAAGTTTTCGAAAACAAGTCACTGTACTCCTTTTATGGAATCATATTTAAAACTGCGGTACATTCCCTTTGGATGTCCTGGACGGTGTCATGATGGTCTCCTTTCATCTCCAACTTAACTTTTGGGAACAACCAGAAATCTGCTGGAGCCAAATCTGGTGAATACGGAGGATGATCAAGGACTGTGGTCCCTTTTCTGGCCAAACATCATGCACGATCTTCGATTAGTGGGGTGGGGCACGGTCGTGGAGGAGCGACCAGGAACCCTGCTCTCGATATTCAGGTTGAATTTGAAGAATTCTCGCCCACAAACGTTTGAGGACTCTGAGATAATAATCAGAATTCACTGTTTGACCTTCTGGCAGAAATTCCTTGTGAATGATTCCTTTGGAATCAAAGAAAACGGTTAGCTGTCTTTACTCGACTCTTTTGCATGTGCACTTTCTTTGGGCTCAACCACGCTGCACTCTGCTGCTTTGGGAGAGGCTCATATTGAAAACACCATGTCTCATCACCAGTAACAATCGATTTTGTAAATTTTGTATCACTTTGGGCCAACCGTAACATGTCTTTGCAGTGTTCAACTGTGGCATGTTTTTCATCGCCTGACAGCGCATGGTACAAACCGTGCACAGACCTTCCATTTGCCCAAATCCTCGGTCAAAATTTGATGCACAGTACTTTCTGGTATTCCCAAAAGCTCCTCAGTGAATCTTGCAGAGACACATCTGTCTGATGCATGCATTTCGGTCACTTTTTTTCACATTTTCTTCAGTGCGACTTGTTCTCGGCTTTGATGCACATGGAGTCATCAATGTCCTCCCTGCCATCACGAAATACAGCATACCATCGAAAAACGTTTGAGCGAGCAACTCAAACAATCACTACTGTACACACTTTCCATCATTCCGTACGATTCTCCTGCTGTTTTGCCTAACTTCAAACAAAATTTGTTGTTGGCTCTCTGTTCAACCGCCATTTTCCGATGAGCGTCAGAACACATGATGCAGCGATGCTTGCACTTTGAAATTATAGACAGCCACAGCTGAAACTTCAAGAATCTTAATGCCACAACTCACCAACAGATGGCATTGCAGGGCAAAATTTAAGAAAATGAATCCTAACGGATTCTGAACACACCATGTATGAAGAAGGTGCTTGAGAGATGTGTGAAATGCATAGGTTCTGTACATTTGGTTCTACCCTGCAGACTGAAATTTTACAAAATTCATTCAGTGAATGGTCAGCTTAGTGGATTGTGTCTTATGAGGGGACCCAGTTGATTGAAACCTTCTGATTCTGTTCCAGTTTTGGAGTATGGTAGTGTACCCTCCTCTGACTTCTAGCCAAAGTATTAGATGTCAGCACTCTACGGTTTCTTTGTAATACATAATTTTTCTTATGTGTTCTTCATTGTTCATCTTAGGTCTCAGAAGATGAGGCACACTTGTTAGGTTGTCTGCAGTAGATCAGTTGGTAGGGTGTGATGCAGACAGCCAGTTTCCAGTGAGGTGATTTTTTTTTAAATTATCATGTCTGTAATGGCTTGGAGATAAGATTACTTTTCGTTGTTAACTCTACATGTATTTATTTACTTTCTTCTTCTCTTCTTACATGGGAATGAGGGGAGTGTGTGGGACTAGAAAATATACAATATTTTAATAACAGTTAAACTTTCCACATCGTCAGAGTAATGTTTAATGCATCAGAATAGGTTAACAGGCTTGCAGGGTTCAGGGTTTTAGAAGAAAGTCACTGTGATGGGAATCAAACCACAGCTGCCTCCACCATAAGTGAACACACTGCTGAGCTACTGTGGGCAACCCAACAAGTATATCTCCATTTCTGAGATACAAAATGAACAGTGAAGAATATGAAAAGAAAAATTCTGTATTACATAGAAACAGTTGTGTTGAAACATAATATTTTGACCAAGAAGTGGGAGGAGGGTGCTTTACAATGCCGCAACACTGGGGCCAGATCAGAGGGTTTCCATTCAGCTGGTTCTCCTTGCTACTGCAAACAGTCACTAGTCCAGGTAGATATCCAGTAATCTTCTGGTCCTTTTGATGAAGTAGTATAAGGTTGACATATTTGGTTTTCCTTTGTCTGCGTTTCTATGAGTCCTTGGTTCATCTCTAATCTACTTACATATAGTGACTTTAATTTGTGAAGTGTGTCTTTCTTGATGCAGGTTTGATGTACGGTTGATGACAGAAGGGAGAATGAAAGGGCAGGCTTTCATCACACTGCAGAGCACAAAACAAGCAGAAACAGCACTTAAAGAAACAAACGGATATATCTTGAAGAACAAACCACTGGTGGTCCAGTTTGCAAGATCTGCTAAAACAAAATGAAATTGAAGTTCTTTCATTTATGTGTAGTGGCTGCCATGGTGTGCATTAAATAACATAATTCATTCCAGAGATTAATATTTGCTGCAAAATGGTTCACACTGTGCACTGTGTATATTCTTTCAAATGAGAATGATAAGTCATGACCTATTAAAATTCCTACCATGATAGGTCATCCCATGACAAAGCCTTCTTCATTCTTTTTAACTTCCTGTCAACACTGCTTTTGCATCAGCTTTCAGCTGACTCCACAAAGTGTACTCCTTCTTGAGAAGCTAACAGTCACCTCACTAGACAATAATTCCCCATAGTTTATGGAACCAGAAAATATATTACATGTTAACAAGAGCCTACTGCAGTCCCTATACTAAACCAAATTAATTCATTCCACATACTTGCACTATATTTCTTTCAGAACCATTTTAATCTTCTCCCATCTATGCTTAGATCTGCCAGCAGACATTTTTGCTACAGGTTGTTTTCCAACCAGAACTCTGTATGCATTGCTCTTTCTTCTGATTATCCTGATCTGAATTACCTGTTATCCCCATCCCCTAATGTGGGAGACGTTGTCTTACGCATGTCTTTTCTCACTTGGTCATCCTTTCTTTCTGAACATTTCATAAAAACTCCTCTTGTATTTATCAGTTACTCTCTTTTGTGTATTTTCTCTCGGTTGATTTACCCCATATTCATCCATTCAGCATCTTAATTTTTAAAACCCAAAGAAATCCCGTTATCTGTATGTGACATGTTTGCACCATTATATCATGACACGACTATGTCGACATCCTATGTGGTCTGATCAGAAGCTATATGGTTAGCATGAATGAGCAAGTTAGTTGAGAGTCAAAGGTTAAATCAGTCATAGCCAGTTAGTGGCCAGTTGAGGACAAGCTGCGAGACAGTAGCCAGCCAGCAAAGACATGAACATGAAAGCAGACGAACACCCATTGCTGGGATCCACTACCAAGCAGCGACTAGTATAGGTTATAACAGCTGAGCCACCATGTACTATAGTGGTTTGTTAAGTGTGTAGATTAGCAGTAGCATTATACGTACTTGTAGTTACGAGTTACACGTATTCAGTAAATGCAATTACCAGTCCAAACCCCATGTCTAGTCACTAACACATTACAGTATCTTCAACTGCACTAACTTTTCTTGTAGTGCAAAATGTGAGAACATTTTTATGCATTCTTACAAAGTTAAGAAAAAAGAACCTTTGTGTGCAAGTAGATTGTTTGTCCCTCTACCTGTGACCAAATACCAGCGCTTATATCGTTAGAGGGATTTTATTTAAATTTCATATCTGAGACTTTTGCTAAAAGTTATCAAGCAGTTCCAGTTTTCAGACTTTTTGATTAATAACAAAGCCTGACTTACGAAAATCCTCTGTGTATCCCATAAACCACTTTATTGTCATGTGGCATACAGACCCATTGCTAGGCAATGACTGTGGCACAAACAGTAAGACAATAGCCGTTGCTAGGCAGCATCCTGTGCACAGCAGTGGAAGTACTGTTGGAGGCAGTATTTTGTATGTGCTCCACTCTGAGGCCATATCACACAACCAACCAGGTTCAGTTCAGTTCACTTCAGTTAGTGCAAAGGGAAAGAGAAGGTACTGGTATGACCCCTATCACTGACTGAAGACCTGCTTGTAATTATGTGGGAAAATACAGCATCTCCTCTCTTTTAGAAATTTCTCCCTATTTACCTGTATTGGACAGCAAAAAGTGCATATCTGCAGACTGTAGGTCAATATCAGGCTGTAAGTTGACAGCAGGAACCTAATTAGCTCTGCAACCTTTGCACCAATAGTGAACTATAAAATCTTCCTACAGTCACAAAAAAATTCACCTGCTGCAACTATAGTTTCCAAAAGCAGCGCCTATATTGAATATTTCCAAAATTGGGCACTGATGCACCTGTATTTTAAAGACTTCCTGAAGTCTTAGATATCCCTACAGGGATCACAACTGACAGTTTGAGAAAGAATGCCATAAACCATTTTACAGAATATGCTGAAATTTGTACATGGACTTTTCCATGCATCCCATATACAGTTTCACATATTTTATTAAAATTCAATATGGGAGACTTCATTAAATTGCTGGATAATTCCAATTTTCAGCCATACTGATCCATAATGAAGCCTCCTTTGCATAAGGCCATAAATTGATTTTCAATCCTTCCACATATTCTGCTGAAAATGGATTTACAATTTTCAGCTATTTGCATTTTATCATTTCCACTTTTAAGTCTAATAAACCTCAGTGAATGCTGTTGGTAATTTTCTTTATGACATTATGGAATACAACCTTTCGGATCTTATTACACAACAGACTAACTTTTCAGTGATATTATGAGTGGACCTCAGTTCAAAGAAGACTGGGATAGTGGCAGTTCATAGCAGAAACAACCTATAAATGGTTACCTCCATGTACAGTATGTCATGTCTTTCTGTGGGATAAGTTTCCATTTTTATCCATCCTCCCACAATTAAAAATCTCATCCCTTCTGCCCACGCCTTGCCTATCATTGCTTTCATACCATCCTCATTTTGGGAAGTTTATTTTCCTTCATTCTAACATCTGTTTAACTATTAAAATATAACAACTGCATTTATATATAAGAAATACTGAAAGATTTGATTATAAACACACAGTCACTTCAGTGATATTTATTCAAACACACATATTGGTATGAATGCATCATGCAACACACCGTTACATAACACAAAATGCATTAAATTGTGTGTGTTATAATTTAACATTAATATAAAATAAAATGTATAATTGTTTTAAGCATCATGACTGCTTGTTTCATAAGATGTTTGTTATGTCATTGTTGATTTTCACAGGCTAGACAATTTCAAACAAATGCAATAATGCAAAACAGGAAAACAGGATGGTCCTAAGCAACACATTTATCTGCACAATATTTTCCATCTCAGTTGGCTCAAGTATTCTTTAAAGCCCTACCCTCTGAACCCAAGCATTCGTTCCACAATATGATTAATTACTTCAGAATAAAGTAGCCATTACAAATTCCTGGCTGCACAATGGGACAGAAACACCTAACAAAAGTGAATGTGCTCTGTGATATGTCAGTCATTGCTAATGTACCTAAGTTCTTATACATTACACAAACTGTAACATAAAAACTAGAAAACCCCATGAACTGTGGCGTCCACTCCATGCCTGTTCTGGAATGAAGTTTCTATGTACATAAAAATACTGAAAGTTGCTGTCCTCTCTGTTCACTTCCTTGGCTGAATTTCTCTTCCTAATGATAACAGTTCCTGAAATGAAATCATGCTATTAACACACTCGCCAACTGGAATGCAGGTTTTATCTTTATTGCTTGCATTCTCTTCTGTATTACTATACAGTACCAATATATAACAGTCAACACACAGAAAACCTAACTAATGTTACTTTTACAGATGCAAAGATTCAACTATGGAATAAAGGCCTAAAATATAACTTACACTACAAACCCAAAGAATGGATAAAGACCCTAGCAATCAAAGCCAACACAGCTATAAGCCAAGTACACGAAAGAGACCAAACATACACAAGACAATTAGTAACCAATAATATTCAAAAACTCATAAACAAAATACACTAAAAGAAAGGCAACAAACAATACAATGACAACTAGAATCCCAAGAACAAGACTTTATAAAGGACATTAACCTTTATCGGACGGGCCATTTAATTTCCGGTAGGGGCAGCTGGACGGAGTTTATTTAAATGCCCGCCCTTCTAGAGCAATGAAATTGTAAGCATGTTTCTAAAAATGGTGTGATTTCTACATTTTTTATGATAAACGAACGAAATGAACGCTCCTTTAATGTAGAAAGAATATAGAATCAGATATTCTAATTTACAGATTTTAATATCTGTAAAAAATTTTTACACTGATTCCCAAAATAAAATTTCCCGAAATTCATACATTTTCTGCACCATGCGTTCTAGCAGTGTAATACATTTTCTGCACCATGCGTTTTAGCAGTGTAAGTCCTTGTGGCGACTTCACATTCAATGGTATCTCTTGTTGTAGCTTAT